TAAAAGGAGGAAAAAGAGAAAACTAGAATTAAAGTTAGTATGAAAAAAGTTATAGGGGGCTGGGGATTTAGCCAGTGGTGCTGCCACCTGCCTTGCAAGCACAAGGTCCTGAGTTCAATCCCCAGTACCAAAAAGAAAAAGAAGTCATAGAGTCTCCAGTTATTGGTAGAGGTGGACAACAAACTTAACTCTGAGCTTTCTGATAAGTAGGATAAAAAGAAAAACATGATCCATTATACCTTTAAAATAAGACCAAATCAAGGCCGGGGATTTAGCTGAGTGGTTCTGATGCCTACCTTGCAAGTGCAAGGACCTGAGTTTGATCCCCAGTACCAAATAAATAAATAAGACCAAATCAGCTATTTTGTTGCTGAGAACAAGGGAAATTTCTCCCACATTAACTGGGTGGCAAATTGTTTAATTACTCTGCTTATTTTTCCTTGATTGTAAAATAGAATAAAAACAGCATCTGTTATATAAGGTTGTGAGAATAATAGAAGATAAATTCCTAGGACAGTACCTGTCAAGAAGTAAGCACTCAGATACATTATTAACCATTAAAAATGGTATTAGCAAGACGATCCTTATAGAAATCGTTATCATATATTATAAAGGGGTAAATGTAGAGGTATTCATTGCCTCAAGTAGGAAATCGTCCCAGCAATAGGACACAGGTGTCATGAGTTACTGTGGTGTTTTTGTCTGTGATTGCTCATTAATGCACTCCGTTTTGCTGTTTCCTCTGGTAATCACGGCAAGGATACAGGATTTAAGTTGGTGTTCTGCTTCAGCCAGCTCTAAGTAGTTTGATCATGTTCTCATGCATGTGTTGAATAATAAATAAGATTTTTGCATTTACTTTTTCTGCTCTTCATATGTGCAGATGGTATTCTGTAAACAAAGACTGGGCAAAAACAATTATGAAAAGTAGTAATTGAACTTAATAGTCACTGTGAACAGAATAATCAGTGGAGGCTCTATACCTTCCTAGGAAGTGATACCATGGTAATAAAAATAGATGCAAAGCAAAATATTAATTACTACACTTATTGAGTGCTAACTAGACACCAGACTCTGCTGAATTCTTTACATATATTCTCATCCATACAACAGTACATTGAGATCACAAATATTATGCCCATTTTTGGGTAAGGGGATTTTGAATCCATAAAGGGGATAAGCCTCTTGCCTGAAGCCACAGCCACTAAGTATAGATTTAGTATATGGACCTAGATCTTGCTGATTTTAAAATACATATTGTTAATCACTTCAGTATATTACTTTATGAGGAATGAAACTAAAACTTATCAAGCCTTGAAACTCTTTGTTCAAGAGAGATCTAAAATAATTTTTCCACTCTTAGGCAAATATATTCTGATTTTTGTTATCCTGTAATAAATTCAGTTTTATTATCTTCCTGTGTGGGGTTGTCAGACTAAAAGTCAATTGACTTGATTTGGTCACCAGCCTGAACTTTTATTTTTTACTTGAGGCAGTTGCCTACTATGATACCCAGGCTGGACTCAAACACTTGATTCTCCTGGGTCAGTCTCTTAGCTAGCTAGGATTACAGGTATGTGCCTGGCTAAAACAATTTTAAAATGGAAGTGACAGTTAGATTTGAAGTAGAAAAGTCAATTAGGATGGAGAGCAGTGGTAGTGTGCTTGCCTGTCATGCAAGATCCTGAATTCTAGCGCCAGCACCACCAAGGGGAAAAAAATGGAACAATAAAAAGTCTAGCATTTCAGTTTGATCTTGTATAATTTCATGGTTCAAGTCTCTAATGGATTGTTTTGGCCTCTCCATTCCAAACTGTAGGCCTTCTTCCTTACCTCACCAAAAGACAATCAGATTAGTGTTGCCAGTGAAGATGCCTCATATTTAAAGATCAAGACAATTCAGGTTCCTGTAATCTGCCCATAGAGCTTTTCAGTGTCCTCATCGAATTGCAGAAACACAGATTTCAGTTCAAATTATGAAATATGTATGTCATGTTCAGTGGAAGCAACTTTACAGTAGAGAACATTGCCTGTAACTGGTTTTCCTTTTGGTGGGCATGATAGGAGATTCCTGACAGAAGCAACAGTGACATAGTTAAGATTTCAAAAACCACCTCTGTCATACTGGAAAACATAGATGTGCTCAGCTCAGTGACTTGAGATCACTATGCAATCTCTTATCAGGCAGTTTAGAAACTAGAAATAGCCAATCAAGAAATGTATCTTTCCAAAATATTTATATAATGGGAGGATCTACTCTGAGAGATAGTCTGAAAGGTGAGTTATATGAATCATGTATCACTGAAAAGTGATTATGTGAAACAGAACAAGACTGAAGTTTACATTTGTTGAAACATATTAATCCCAAAAGTCTTTAATAAATGAGAACCCACTTGCAGATACTGATGTCATTTTCTTTTTACTATTTTTTTAACCTTCATTTTGGCCTTTGTTCATAATGCATGTTTTTTCCTCCTCCTGGCTTCCTGGCTTCCTCAAATCATTTCATACAGATATATGTAGACCATCTGTCCTTCCAAAAGGCTATCCCTTCTCTCAACCAGGGGCAGGGGTGGGAGTGAGAGGCAAATATGAATAGAAAGCCAAGAAAAACCTTGCAGACTGTTTTTTGGCTCCTCTTTCCTGGCCCTTCTTTGCCTGCTCTGCAGCCCCCTGGGGACCCCCACAGGGAGTCAACAGCTTGCATCCAGTTGAGAACACAGCAATGGCTGCGGAAAGGAAAGTGCTAGGCTGGTCAGCTTTCCTACTAAACACACAAAAATGACACAGATGGCATGTGCCATGCTGGGATGCACACATTCTGTACCACAGGATCAAATAGAATAGAGTTTCTTTGTTGTCATTGAAGTGGAACCTGAGAGATTCCAGTGTAAGTGCAACATACATTTGGTTAATAAAATGTAAGCCAGTGATTCAAATTGCTTCCAGTAGTTTTGTAATAACTCGAGTCTTTGCCAAAGGCCCTCCCCAACCTTGGGGCTTGAGTGCATGCACAAGACACTCTGGGAGAGTGCTCACAGGGTTGTCAAGGCTTAAGATGCACACTTGACCCCCACCTCTATGGAAGGTCTAGCTACTGCCCTTGAAATTTTGTTTTGTTTTGTTTTTTGAGACAGGGTCTCACTATGTAGTTGAGACTGACCTGGAGCTCGCTATGTAGCCCAGGCTGGTCTCGAACTCACAGCGATCCTCCTGCCTCAGTCTCCCGAGTGCTGGGATTACAGGCGTGCTCCACCATGCCCAGCTTGCCCTCGAAATTTTAACCCTAATGAAGGTGCTTGGGATAGCTGCTCTCAAAACTCTTTAGCCTTAGCATAGACAGTCTTGAGTTGAAAACTCTAAATCAGTGGGACATTTAGTTCATACTGTTTCCATTAGCAGTTGTGTGTGCAAAGAAAAGCAGGTCTCTCTGACCCCCTCTAGACATGTTTGAGACCTCAGGAATTGGCAGGACACATAGCTCAGTGATAGAGCACTTGTCTGTCATGTACACACACGGCTGTGTTCAGTCTCCAACACTGCCAAAACACAGAACAAAACCTTAGAAATAAAGCAGTCTTGCCTCAAAAGACTGCAAACCTAACTGGAGAGTTGCTACTCCAAATCAAATTTCAGAGCTGAACTAATAAACTTTGGAGTGCGCCATACTACACAGATGAGCCGAATTTTAAAACTTTTATGCCCTTTCAGCTCCAGACTATTTAAAAATAATAAAAATAGGACCCATTACCAAAAGCTAAGTCTGAGTTTTCAGAGAACAGTAGTGAAAATGCCAGCTTGAACATTGCTCCTGTTACTTGGTGGGGCTCTCCACTAAAAACTGTCTTTACTGCCTTGGATACATACCAGAGGAGAAGCTTTGTCCCTATAGAGAAAAGAGAATTAAGGCCTTCATAAGCCTTGAGCAAGTTGTGGCTGCTGCCAGTGTTGTGAACAAGAAGACTTTCAGCCTCAGATCTAATGAGATAGAGCTGAAAACTCATCCAGTGCAAACATCCAGGGTTATCCCATAGCTGTGAAATCCTTCAGCTAAGGAGGGAACAGTCCTTAAAGGCTGACCTGGAGAGCCTGGTCCGTGGCTTTGTTTCAAGAGAAGCCCCTGGCTAAACTGTGTGCAACTGCAACTTTTGTCCAGGTGTCAGATTTCACTGAAAATGTATTTTAAACTCTGCAAAAAGTATGCTCATTTGCAAAATTTTGTCAGCTATTTGTTTCAGGATAGCAAATTAAGCCATAAATCAAACTAACATTGAATCCTGAAAACTTTTGGTATTGTCAAAGATTAATCAGCTCTAAAGAAGTGAGGGTTTGACATACATGAAATATTGAGTAGTTGAGTTGAAAAAGAGGCTTTCACTTAAATATTGATGATGTTGATTTCATTGGAAATAATTTCACTTCTCACTTAAATGTGACTTAGAAGCCCCATGGCTGTATTAATTTATCCAAAACAGCATAGTGCAAACCTGGCACTTAGGAGGATGAGGCAGGAGGATCGCAACAGGTTTGAGGCCAGGCTGAGCTATATGGTGAGTTCAAGGCCAGCCTGCACTACAAAGCAAGATCCTGACTCCAAAAAAATCCAGGTTTCATGTGTACTACTGCTTAAAAGCAAGAAACTGTGATGTTGAGAGTTTTTGGACCCACACAGGGCCAAGTTTGAATCCCAGCTCTGCCACATGTAGCTGCATATTTCTTCAGTTTTCTCATCTGCAAAGTAGAACTAATAGCTGTGTATAGGAGTGAGTGCCTCTCTGATCCCAGCAGTCTGGGAAGCTGAGACGAGTTGCCTCCAGGCAAGAGGATTGCAAGTTTGAGCCCAGATCTCTGTTTCTTTGTAGTTTTTTTACTTCTTGCTGAAAATTGTATCTCAGAAATACAGTCCCAGCCATCAGCTATGTTTTGCCATCTAACACAGTTGATTCATGTCAAAATAGTTTCCACTGATTCCAAGAGTGTTGTCTGTGTTTCCCTCCCAGTTTGAACGCCACGACCCTATGGATGGAAGGATAACTGAGAGGCAGTTTGGTGGTATGCTGCTGGCTTACAGTGGGGTGCAGTCCAAGAAGCTGACCGCCATGCAGAAGCAACTCAAGAAGCACTTCAAAGATGGAAAGGTAGGTCGCTTTGGCTGGAGGAAGAAAAGAAACTGTAGGAACAGCTGGTTATTGCAAAGGCGCCAGACTAGTAACAGGAGAGTATCATGAACTAAGGAATATAACTAATTCATCCATACACTTGAGATGCAAAGAAAGAGAATAGTGAACAGTGGGCAAGAAAGAGAAGAGAATCCAGTCATCCCAGACTTCTTGTTCAGGAAAGGTAAGGCACCATGCGTGCACTGAGATTAAGAATTTCAAAGACTAATTTGGATAGGAACGTAAAGAGTTGCAGTTGTGGATGTCTGGTATTTAAGATACTAGGTAACTGTTCAAGTGTATAATCAGTAAGCAGCTGGGTATTTATCAGTGCACTGTTAGACTCAAAACCATGAGAATGAAAGAGATTTCCCAAGCTGGATATTATACAGAAGAAGAAACAAAGATGTGGGTAAGGAAAGAACCCAGTGGAACACTAACATTTAGGCAGCTAAGGAAGGAAATCTAGAAGAGCCAGTGAAAGATACCTAGAGAGAGTAGTGAAATCAAAGCCAGGAAAGAGGATTCAGGAACTGAGGGTTCTAGTGTCACATTTGACACGGAGGGTCCAGTAAGATAAAGATTAAAACATCTGTTGGTTTGGGGGAAATGGAAGTAATTGGTGACCTTTGGGAGAATGGTTTTGCTGCAGTGGTCTTATTGAAAGGCATGTTTGGTGAGAAGGAAGGAGAGAAAGAAGCAGAAGGAAAAAAGGCCTTAGCAGTATTGCATATGCAAAACTCTGAGGCTATACACTTGTCTAATCTGGCTGCTATAACAAATACCATAGACTGAGTGGTTTCAACAACAGAAATGTATTTTCTGACAGTTATAGAAGCTCACATGAGCTTCCGTGTACACACAGAAAAAGAGAGGGAGTTCTTCCGTGTTTTTTCTTTGAAGGACTCTAACCCTGTCGCGTTAGGGCCCACCTCTGTGGCCTCGTTTAATCTTATTTCCTTTGCGGCTCCATCTCCAAAGATAGCCACACAGGGCTGCAACACATGAATTTGGGAAGGGAAGGTGGAGATACAAACCATTGGCAGGAAAAACAAAGCTGGCATGTGTGAGGAACTGAAAGGGAGCTGGTGTGGTCCGAGCTTACTAAGCAAGGAGGAGGATGGCCTGAGATAGGTCAGAAACACACACTAGGCCTGGAAGCAGTGCGCAGCAAGAAGCTACTAACGGGTTGAACAATGAAATGATGTGGTTGTACATAGGTTTCAAGAAATAACCCTAGAAGCCTTGTGGAAAAGAGTGTAGAAAGGACCAAGCATAGAGGCTCAAAGACATGTAATGTCTTTGAAAACTTGAAGGGATGATGTAGTCTTATGAGCTGGTTCAGGAAGAGAAAAGGGAAGATGGTAGAACTGAGCCAGTATTGAGGTGATTTGTTTTGTTTTGTTTTGTTTTTTGGTACAGGGGATCAAACTCCGGTCCTTGTGCTTGCGAGGCAGGCGGCAGAACCACTGAGCCCCAGCCCTAATGTTGGGGTTTTTGCCAGTGGCTAGAATGAACAAACTGAAAGACCAATTAAAAGATCAGGCCTCTAAAAGATCACACATCCATGCATGCACACACACACACACACACACACACACACACAGAGCAGTGCTTAGGCTAACGTAGAGCGCCGATCTTTGTATTCCCCAGCCCAGTACCAGTATCCAGTATCCATTGGATAGTGATCAGTGATTAGCATTTAGCCATGACCAGTGTGACCAACATGGTAGTGTGGTATAGTAGACATGAAGCTTCTTAGAAGATTTGAGTTGAGGTCCTGATCCAAAACTTTCCATGGTCATTATAGACAGATCAACTTTATGGCCTCAGGAACAGAGAAGTTTGTCCTAGTTGCTCACCATAATGACCATTCTACCTTTAAGGACTCAATAGCTGAGCAGAAATCCAACTTAGTTGAGTGTTTATTACTCAAATTGACATAATCAGTTAACAATCACAGAAACCAAAAGAGAAAAAAGTTCAAAAAGGGAGAAAAAACCCTCAAGCCTCCTAAAACCTCAATGAAGGAAAGAGGAAAATAATAAAAATTGGGGGAAAAAAGACTGAGACAAAAATTTTAAAAATAAATAACTGAGCAGAAGAAATAGGCTAGCTAGTTTTTGTCCCACTTTTCTCAGACTTTGTGCAATAAATCTTGTATGAATAGCATTGCCCCAAGTTGGGGGAGAGTACTTCTCAGCCACTTTTTCCTCCTTGTCTTGCATGTGAAAAGGCTGAAAGGACTTCTGAGCCAGCTGTGGACTGCAGCTGAGGACAGAGTGGGGCTCTGAGAGATGCAGCCTTTCTCGCAGCAGGTATTCTCTTGGCCCTAAGGGAAACTTGTCATAATGGAAAGTGAAAGGGAGAAGTATTTCTCTCCCACAGAGCACTTCTACACTACCAGTGCTTGGCTTATGTCTGCTGGAAATTGTAACTTCAGAAAATCGATTACAGGTGTGGATTTTCTTTATTTTTTTTTTTTTAGCCCCTTTGCTGGAAGCATGGTGTTTGCAGTAGAAAACACTCCTTCCTTTTGATCAGACTTATTTTTAAAAGTTGGTCCAGACATTGATTTGACCTTAGGATAATTATCATGAAGCCTAGCTCACATTTTATTATAAATTTATATTTAAAAACAATAAATTTGGTGTTGGATACATCACCCTGAAGTGAATAAAGTGTTTAGCTCCGTCAGGAGTTAATTCAGGATCGAAAGATCTTGCAAAAGAGCTCTGAAGTTAAAGGAGACAAATTTTGGCAGATGAGGAAAATCTCGGGTGCTAAATTACTTTGGGCCCGAATTTCTAGCCTGTGTCAGCAAGGAGATTAAGATTGATTGTCCTCTGGTGTTGATCAAATAGTTGTGAGAATAGCAGTTAACTAAAATGAGAGTTAATGAAGGGCCTTTGTTCCTGAGGTTACCAGTCCATCTCTCTAGGACCATTTTGCATTAAAGGGGAACCACCATCTGCTTTCTAATTGCTTCTTTTATTCCACTTCGGACTTGTTAACATGAAGATGTAAGTTTTTATTTGGCTACCATTAATTAAGTTTCTGTGTCAAAATATCAAAACAGATCCAAAAGATTGAAGGTCCTAGTGGTGGCATTAAATAAATATTTGCATGTAACTTAATGACCACACAATGCTTCATAGCCATTTTTCCCCTCCTGTCTTTGCACCAGCCTTGTTAGAAATCAGTGTGTCTTTGGGCATGTAGATACTGGGAAAGAGAAATTAATGGCCCACCTGGAGTCTAGATCAGTGATGGCGAACCTTTTAGAGCTTTCAATGATACAAACAGCCTGCTGAGTCATATGTGCCATAGGTTTGCCACCACTAGCAGACTATAAAGCAAGGATTCGTTTTGCAGGTCCTTTCCTTCTCATAATGCTATATTTCTCCTAATCATATTATTTCTCTAAAGTAGTGCTTCTCAACATTAGGAGCACTTGGGGAATTGTTGAGAAATATAGTTGCCAGTACCTTCTTAAAACCATCCAGTCAGAAACTCAGTATGTAGGTACAAGCCTGTGTTTCTTAAAGGCTCCCCAGTTTTATTTACCTCAGCCTTTCCTGTTTCTTATCCCTATACATGCCTGACGAGAAAGTCTACTGTAGCATTTGATAAAATAAGTTCATTACCACTAGCTCTGTAATAATGAGCCTGCTAGCTTACTAAGAACTTCTCCCTGCCACTGAGTATTTTCTGTATGCTAAACTTTTTTGATTTTTTGAGACATGGCCTCACTTTATAGTTCAGTCTGGCTTTGAATTCACTATATATATATAGCCCAGGCTGGCCTCGAATTTATATCTTTCATCCTGCTTCAGCCTCCTGAGTTCTGAGATTATAGGTGTGCGCCACCTCTGTAGTAAACTTTTTATGTGTCTTCTCCTCAGTTATACAGCAATCCTGCTTGGTAAATAGAATCCTCATTTTTCAGGTGAAAAACATTCTTCTGAGCCTTATTTACCAGAGATCCCATACTGTCTTAAGAGATGGCACCAGGATCCAGAGCAAAGAGAGGGTCTTATTTTATGGTCCATAATCTTCTGACTAACCATTGCCAATCTTTGTTTGCTGTGATTTGAATAAACACAAAGTTTTGGTAAAACAAGAAACTAGTGTCACCAGATTCCAGCCTTAAGTTCTTAGGGAGGCAGCTAGAAAGGAAAGTTGTGGAAGCAGAAGGTGGAGGACTAAATCCTAGACTAAGGAGGTTTATCTGGCTGACAGTGGGAAATCACTGACATTTCATGAGAAGGAGAGATGAAGATAGAAAGAAAGAAATGTTTCAGGAAGATCAGATATTTGCACAAATGTAAGTAACAGAAATGGTGTAACTTCCCCTGCTGGCAGGCAGCAATTGAAGAGAAGCCTAGGGTTTGTGACAGGAAGATACTTTATGAAGCAGATTGAAGCAGATTAAACACAATTGGTGAGAGTAGTGTTATATAAGGAAGAAGAAAGGAGACTATTTTGTATCTTTTCATTGGACCATAGAGGAAATTTGGGCAGTTGGATTGACTCCTGGTAAATGTATTTGCTGTGACCGATTTAAAAGACAAGAGCCAGGGAATCATCCATTCCAGTGTATTTGCACTCATCCGTGGCTGGTCAGCACAGGATATCTGGCTTAGCAGCTGACTCCAGAGGAAGCCAAATTTTCCTTACCCCTTTTCTCACCTGTTCCAACTGCACTTTACTTTTCAAAACAGCTTTAGTGAAGTATTTATATACCATCAAAACCATCCATGTTAAGCGTACAGTTCAATGATTCCTTGGTAGATTTCCAGTTATGCAGTCATCAGAGCCATCAGTTTTAGATCATTTCTGTCACCCAAAACACTCCCTCATGCTAGTTCACAGTTAATCCTCATGTCTTCCCTAGTCCCTGGCAACCATAAATAGGCTTTCTGACTATAAATTTGTCTTTTCTGGACATTTCATATAAATGCAATCATATAATGATA